ATAAAAGAAAACACATTGAAGTAGTTATTTAATATAATTTTGAATTAACTGTATTAGTTTTATTTTCTTTTAAATGCTGAATTTTGAATGTTTCATTATGCTTTGGTGAGTAGAAAAAAAAAAAAAACCCAGTGATTAATGAAGCTACACCAAACTGCGATGATGGATTTCAACCCATGTTACTTTAGGATGTGGAAAAGAAGAGAATTATGTAATTGATAAATGTGAGACTGATAAGTACTTTTAAGATGTTGTACATTCCCCCCCCCTTCATTTTATATGTGAGGAAAAATGAGGTGGTGAATGTTTAGCAAGCTTAGAATGTTTTAAAATTTGTGCCATAGGGGATTTTATTTTTCTGACAGTTGGTGGTAATATCGCACTAGAAACTTTTTAAACACTAAGGAATTCTGAAATACCGGTTGATCTGCTGTAATGAAAACAATTATTTAGATATTTTGCCTGGTACATCTTTTTCATTTAACATCATAAAATGCTCTTGTGTGATAGTGTCTAAGGGTCAGAAGGAGGAAGTTATGCTAGGGACACTACCTTAGATTTAGCGCATGTCACGTCGTTCAAAGTGATTGTAACTCTGAGTATTCTGGGTATAATGAAACAGATTTTATTCTCCCCTTCTAGCTATGCAGGATGTGAAAGTATACCAGAAATCTGCCTCCCTAGTTAGTTAAGAAAAGCTGTTTATATTCAGGGAAGCTGTTAGACCTTATCCTATATGCGGATAACTTAAAGGGAGTGTCTTCACACTGGCCCTATCATTATGGGAATGTATAGTCTCAGGGCCACACATGGTTTGCTTTTAAGTGAGGGTTAGACCTCTTGAGCAGACCTTGTCCTGAAATTTGGTGAGAAAATTGGATTTTTGTCTCTTCTATTCATGTTCTTTTTATCCCCATCCCTGTTTTTACTTTGCCATTTAAAATGATAAAATTTCAATATTGACACTGTTCTCGGGCATTTTATATGGGAATTTTATATTAAACTCCTGAAATGTGTTTTAGGTTGCTTCAGTTTATAATCAGAATGTACTATCTTTGCAGCCAGATACTCTAGGGACATAAGAAAATAATATACATTCTCTCTATAGTTTAAATATTATATTGATATATTCATAAAGTTGATCTTTGTGATTATTCAAAGCCTTGTTATGTTTCCTTTAGTCTGTGTGGCCTGCCAATTTATGAAAGTGTTAAAGTACTTAGTTATCAGATTTTATCTTGTTCGTACATTTTTAGAAATCTAACTCTTAGCTGAGTAACTAGAAGTCTGACTCGAGGTAATTGACAACTCTATTACTTTTCCATAACATTTTTTTCTAAAGAAACTTAATTAGAATTGAATAAGTGGAGAGAGATACTTTCCAATTGAGTGGGTAGGCTTACTATCATATAAATGACAATCCTTCCCCAATTATATATAA